TAAACATATCTAAGCTTTCGGCTTACATAAGCCATTATCAAAGATGACAATTACATTACAATATATTAACCAATACACAAGCAAAACAATAATGATAGCCTGTTTTTGTTTGCATGGAAGATTTCCAAGGAACCACAAACTCGTGCATATGAGACGCTGGAAGCGAAAATCGCACCGCAGGCCATGACGTCACATATGACCACGCGTGAGTGAAAATGAGAAGTATTAAGTATGGGAAGCCGTTGGTATAAACAAATGGCTTCTGTTATCAATTATAGGCATTTAAGAATATTTGTGGAGATTTCGTAGCTTATTTTGTTCAGGTTAGGTTTCAACTGTTTTATGTATAGCTGCTTCAAGAGTTTTTAGTTTTTGTTTATTGTTTTCATGTTTAAGTATAGTTGTGTTTTCAACGAGGATTTTTCGGAATTGTCATGAGCTGCGGTGTAATTATTTTTATTTAAAACAAGCAGTACTCGATACAAATTAAAAGCATAATATATACATACATACATACATACATATATATATATATATATATATATATATATATATATATATATATATATATATATATATATATATTCCTCCCCGATGATGGCCATTTTGGTCGAAACTAGTCGAGGAATCTAAATGAAATAATAATAAAAAAAACGAAAGAATATTAATCTACAACCCAGTGTGTCTAAAGATTTTAATTTTTTAATATTTTTTTATTGTTCAAAATATATATATATATATAGTTAAATTATATAAGTATTTTAAGGTCCCTGTGGTTCTGGGACCTGGTCTTTGTCCAGTTTATGTAAAACTACCATAATAGGGTAGGGTGAGTCTGACACTTGCTGTGAGTGTGGGACACCTTGCTTTTCTTCCATCAAACCGCGTGTTGTATTTAGTACTGTTCCTGTGTTCTCATCTTTGGATAAGGATGGTTTAGCCTACATGCAGAGTAGTTCAATTTAAATATCGGTGCGAGGCCGACAATGTGTGGCACTTTAACAGAACAGACATTCTCTAAATTAGATTTACGACCCCGTACGTAATCTAACAAATGACGTGTTTACGTCTCGACTGCATCCGGATGAATTTATGCTTGTATCTTTATTGGAAAAAAAAGGCACATTCACTGCTGTAGAGGACAACTGATATTGCATAATAGTCCAATGCTCTTTTCTTTGCTTCTAACTAAATTTTCCCGTTTCTTAATACTTTGCTTACTTTTATTTATCTTTACCTTTACACAGCTCTCTGTGTTCAAATGCGCTTCCATATTTCGGTGTCATATATTTCACCCCCCACTTAGAACAGTTTCCAGATATTTAAATTTACATACTTGCTCTATTTCGACCTCTTCAGATCGTTGTCCACTTCTTGGGATGTTCTATACATTGTCTTCTTACAATTTCTGCTTCGTTCTTTACTCTCGCCTTCTTTACTACCATCAGTAGGAGTTCCTGAAGTTTCCTTTCAATGTTTACTATTAACATTGTGTCATCTGCATATCTTGCGTTTTTAAGATTGTCTCCACCAATAATAAGTCCTAGGACCTTTTTCAGTTTGGTGTTGATGTCCCGGAAAGGGATATATTTGTTCGAAGTAGCAAAGTGGTTTTGGACTACTGTAACCGAGTAGGACAATCTAGCAGGTTACCGTAATGGACTGGTCCTTGTCCTAGTGGTAGGCAATAGGCGTAGGCAATAGGCGAAGACTATAGGCGTAGCCAATAAGCGTTCCTGTACCTCCTCATCAGTCTGTATTTATGGCTGACACCAGCCAATCATATTACTGTGAAGGGAAACCCAGGTGTATGCATATTCATTACATCAGGTGTGATGACATATCTTGTTTTACGCTCCTTACTATTTTTGTGTTTTTACTGAATCAATTTTCCATCTGTATGCAGGCAGTTTGGACCTAGTAAATATTCTGCTTTATTATTATATTTTTCCCAGATAGGTAAAAGAAGTTCTTTGTGTCGAACCATATCAAAAGATTTTGCCTAATCGATGATATAAGTTGGCGGTACGAAAAGTTTTTTTTTTTTGTCTGGGGTCATCTGCATAATATAATGGCTACCATTCTTTTTAAAGACGTTATTCCGTTAAATATATTTCCAGGAATTTTATTCTTAATTTATATATTTTTAAAGAACTGTCGAATGAAAATCTGATCAAGAGCCAAGAAAGATGGTGTTGTTTCCTTCGGTTATTCTAGCACCGTTGTAATACTTATTAACATGACTCTTGGTAAAATATTAATTTGAAAGAGAAAAGACATACGATTTTTAATGATAAATGTTTTTTTTTTTTGGTTTTTTTAAGCATTTCACTCCAAGCAAGGCGTGAGTGCCACTAGCACGCAAGGGGTTACAGAAAGTGAGAGCAAGAGTAAAGAGGGAGTGTTTGATGAAATGAATATAGGGAAGGACGGGAATCAGAAGATATTGATTGGCATTACATTTGAATATTTGAAGATTATAGCTATCAGGGAAGCAAGTAAGAGGAAGGGAGTTCCACTGTTGGGAAGTGTGAGAGAAGAAGCTGCTGGGGTAGAAGAGGCGGTTACATTTAACTGTTTCGACAGTGAAAAGGTGGGACCGAGATGCCAACCTAGTAGCACGCTTAGATTCATGCAGTTGGGGTAGCTCGTTAGAGCAGTTGCCATGAAAATATTTGTAGAAAAGGCAGAGGGAAGCCAGAGCACAGTGACTGTAGACGAGATGCCAGATTAGACCCTATAAAGTAGCGTATCAGTCTCTGGATTAATTTAATGTCATTAGTTTAACTGCAGAAATGTACTGAAAAGGAAGAAAAGTATTGTCAGTGGTCACCAGTTATTGCTACTGTTACTGACAGAGCTATTATATTGATGTGAATTCAATGTTAATGCTTTTTCCGTATAAAATGAAACGGAAATAATTGTAGCGTTAACATTTTGTGTAGAAAGGTGGCAACTTGACTGTGGTCTTGTGCAATGTATAGTCTTAGGGTCTCACTCTTAAACTGGCTAAGATGTCGTACATTGAAGATGGGCTTCCAGAAATCCTTTCTTTATTCCTTATTAATCTTCAGTTTCGCCGACATTTTCTGTGTGTTGTAAGGCGCTAGTTTTATGGAGAACCGGAACAAACTTTTGAAATAAAATGAACATTTAACATTATGGATGTATATCGTCTGGACTACTGATGTTTCTTTATGAATTATTCCAACTATCAACTGTATTCTTGTTGCTTGTGTGCTTGGCCGATTTGATAACTTGCGTATTTCTCAATGGTAGCAATGTTTAGTTTTCGAATTCAGGTAATGACATAAAATGTCTACTGTTGACTTTCAAAACGAACTTTCTAGCCACTACGATTGTCACAACACTTATCTTGAATTTTAATTTTTCTCTTTCTTGCATCTTACTAAGCTTGTTATTTTGACAACTACCATCCGGCCGCTGCGCTTTCTAGCTTTCCTCAAGTGTATATGGCATCCATTAATCTTCCTGGAACTATGAATATAGATTCTCTTATTTATCTATAATTTTGAAAGATACTGGATTAACATATATTTGGGAAAGGATCCATCAACCAAAACGTGATTATCGAACCAACCAAAATAAAGATATCACAATGAATGATTCATAGAACATTTCAGCCTCGCAATATTTCCTAGTATGTTATATCACATTGAAGAATTTCTCTTCTAGATTAAATTCTATTATTGGCAAACTGTCAGTTACTCTCCGTTTGATCTGTGGATGACAAACTTTCTTAAAACAAAAATCATAATGCTTGCTTACAGGATTTGATTGATTTCATCAGCTCTGTTGTGTAGGGCGAGCTTTTATCTAAAAATGATTTTCTTTTGCCAACCATACGCTCCCACGTATAAAACTATATAAGTTGCATTTGGTCAAGATGACGCAATGTTATTTTTGTTGAAAGACTAAAAAACTAAGCGTTGATCTTGGGTAAACTCTCTTCCTACTTATATATTCGTTTAGATAAAAAAAAAATATATTTGAATATTTGAAGATTATATCTATCAGGGTAGCAAGTAGGAGGAAGGGAGTTCCACTGTCGGGAAATGCGAGAGAAGAAGCTGTTGGAGTAGAAGCGGCTGTTACATTTAACTGTTTCGACAGTGAAAGGGTGGAACCAAGATGCCAACCTAGTAGCACGCTGAAATTCATGCAGTTGGGGTACCAGTGAAAGTAGCTCGTCAGAACAGTTGCCATGAAAATATTTGTAGAAAAGACAGAGGGAAGCCACATCACCTCTGTGAGAAAGTGACTGTAGACGAGATGCCAGATCACGGCCTATCACATTTGATCTGTGGATGACAAACTTTCTTAAAATAAAAAGCATAATGCTTGCTTACAGGATTTGATTGATTTCATCAGCTCTGTTGTGTATGGTGAGCTTTTATCTAAAAATGATTTTCTTTCGCCTACCACACGCTCCCATGTATAAAACTATATGAGTTGCATTTGGTCAATATAACGGAATGTTATTTTTCTTGAAAGACTAAAAAACTAAGCTGTCGATCTTGGGTAAACTCTCTTCCTACTTATATATTCATTTAGATAAACAAAAACTGTATATTTAGATAATAAATGTAGACAAATATTAACAACGTCTTTTTTAAGCTAGAGAATCAATACGCAGTAGAAAATCATTTTTTAATTAAAATCTCCAGAGAAACATTTACACATTAACTGATTCGTTGATTGATCAGTTTTTATGGCTCATCAACTTTTTGTAAGTAATTTAAAGGCGGGAAATATTTTTAGATTGCAAGATTATTATTATTTTTTTTTTTGTAATAATAATGATTAACAGATACAAGTCATATTAATTTGCCCATAGCTAGGGGGATAAGAGGTTGATTCAAACCTTTCCCGAGGGTATTTGCATTTAAGTGAATATAACGAGCCCAACTAATAATGGAACACGGCTCTCCGATTTCCAATTCGAAGCCATTATCCATTACACCACCCGCACATCCAAGCTTACAACACCTGGTATTCCAAAGCGGTCACCCATCTAGTTAATGACCAGGCTCGACGTTACTTAACATCGGTGATCGTACGAGAGCAAGTGTTCCAACATCATATGAGCAGTCATATGCCTAACGTGATATGAACTAATAAGTGTACACAAAATTTCAAACACAAAAACATAATGAATCTCACTTGTCTTCTGAGAGCTTTGTTCTTGTAAATTCAAATTTTTTATATAACACTTTGCTACTATAATCGTATAGTATAGCAACAATGTCCTTAAATGTTTGTAGCAACAAAGTGTTGTATAAAAACTACTAAATTAAAATACTACAATTAAAAAATCTTTTTAAAAAATCAAATAAGTTACCTCCCTTGCATAGAGATAAAAAATATTTTGAATTTACGGCGTTAACGCATCCATAGATATGCAACCACTGAAGATGGTCTCAGATGAGATTAAAAGTACTTGGGAAAATAAAAATTATTTGAAAGAAAAATTTTGGAACTTTTCTTAATCAATTTTCTACAGCTACCAAGAAATTAATTTAAAGGATTAATTTAAAAGGATTAAAACTAACATAAATAGACATAATACGTCAAAATTATTTAACCAAACAAGCTTCAATGAAAATATGCTGCCTCTGATGATCGCAAAAGCGTGAAACCTAGTGTTACAAATTCATATCCATATAAGTTATTATGTTAGCTCTATCATTGATATTGAGCGCTTTCCACTAAGTACCGTGCATATAAAATATAATATATATAAAATCCACACACACACACACACACATATATATATATATATATATACCTTATGGAATTAAGTTTGGATGTTGAAACTATTTAACATTTAGTGCATGTCGTCCAAGTTTTTCGAGTGGAAGTTACTTAAAATTTAAAACCACATCACCAAAGATTAAATTAGCCAGCAATGTAGATTAGATAAAAAGAGGTAAAACGTTATGAAAATTTTATGTAGTAATTGGTTAATTTAGTTATTACTATTACTATTGAATATATTCTACTTAACTTAAACACTTAAGTGCCGAAGTGAACTAGTAAATTAGTCTCGAAAAAAAGCACACGACTTTCAATTTTTAGTCGATTCATTGAAATCCAGATATAATCGGAATCTATTCGCACACGGAATTTATGATGGTTAATCATTTATTATTAATCTATTATATATAATGTTATTTCTGTATAATATGTAATTTCTGTATAATATATATTATAATATATATATATATATATATATATATATATATATATATATATATATATATATATATATATAAATATAGTCTTAAGGTGTGCTATATTTATGGGATAAAGTGCTCAATATCAGAGATAGAGCGTGTGTAAATATAAAAAGTGAACATAGAAATCAACACTTAGAATGGACAGTCTGTTTCATATATATGCAATCGTCAGGCCATGGCGATTTTCGTGTTGAAACAGACTTCGCCTAAATGTTTATATATATATATATATATATATATATATATATATATATATATATATATATATATCAAAGTATATAATTGGTATACACGGAATGAATTCCAATAACCAACAATTACTATTCTTAAAAGAGTGCTCAATACAAAGTAGAGCAGATATAATTATTTTTATAAAAAAATTATAACATAAGTATGTTATAAAATCACTACAAAAATAGCCATTTTGTTTCAACACACTCTGTGTCTTATCAAGTGATGATGTTGAAAAGAAAATAAATGGTTTTAATTTTAATATTAAATTTTATCATGTAAATTTATAATTATTAGTTAGTATAAATTATTTTTAATATTACACGTATTTAAAGATCTGAATAGCTATTAGAGCAGGATTTCGTTGTCAAGCTTTTGAATCTTTCTATACTTCGTTTTTGATTGGTTATTCTAGCTTTTGTAACAATGTTTCCCCCTAGTGTAGGATCGTTAATTAATCTGAAACTTTTAAAACCATTTATTTTATTTTCAACATCATCACTTGATAAGACACAGAGTGTGTTGAAACAAAATGGCTATTTTTGTAGTGATTTTATAACATACTTATGTTATAATTTTTTAAAAATAATTATATATATATATATATATATATATATATATATATATATATATATATATATATATATAAATATATATTATATATACATATAAATATAAATAAATATATATTATATATGTATAATATATAATATATATTATATATATTATAAAATATATATATATATATGGTGTCCCAAAAGTCACCTAGGGATTTAAAAATTCTAATTTACATTTTTTTAATATTCAAAATAGTTTTATACAGAATCAAATTTCAAACCTAGAAAATATATTCCCATTTAATTATGAAAAATTTTTCTGACGTAAATGTCCATTTTGAACTTCGCACAGACCCGCTCTTTCGATAGCATTGTCCATAACTGTGATTAATAAATGTTTTGCCGACCTCGAATATCTGCACAGATGTTATTGGTATTGTTTGGGGTTTATTGATGTATATACGTGATCTTCAACATTTTGGAAAATCACTTACACAAAACATTAAATCAACCGACGAGCAATGAACTCTGACAGTGTTTTATTTTGTTTTTG